CGCTTTAGCAGTCAATTGTAGCCTACATTTAAGTGTCCATAGATTCAAAAGTATAAAAGATACAGTCATTTCGAACCACAGGTTTTAAAGATAATTGTTTATACTTTAGTTTACACTATATTGAAAAATAATTTATCGTCATCATCATCACTTGATGACGTCATCAATTCAAGTGTTTTTAAAACTTGATTTTTGACAAAGTAATAACTTTTCAAATCGATTTTAAACCATTAAGGAGTAATTTTATCAAAAATCTGAATACATTTTCACCCTAGATAATTGTTCAAGCATTCTGAAAATCTACCGGAAAAGTTTCCTACCTTACTCCTTCATAAAGATATTCGCTATTGAAGTTAGTGCTTTTTTGAAGAATAATTTTATAAAAATACAAAAGTTGTGAATTAGTATTCTTTGGTGTTGGACCATCCCTTGGGTTGTGGAGCTCAATTTTGCTTCTTAAAGGTCTAAATTGTGTTATAGGCTAGTTTTAAAGTTAAAAATCGAAAAGTTGCACACGTGGGGACACGCCCAAATTTATTTAAAATAGCTAAAATCACTAAAAATTTTGATTTTCACGATTTTTATCAACTTTGGAGTCCCGTTGTGATCCAAGTACTTTTTGAAATCTTCTGAAACTTTGCATGCTTATCAAACTATATATCAAATACCACTATGCAAAAATTAACGGTGATTCAATATTGTATACGCACGCAACGTCCGCTCAAAGTTTGCACGTGCGAAAGGTGAGAATTTTGCTCATTCGTGATTTCGAATATATTCTGCTTTCCATGATATTTAAATGGCATTATATATGAATTTAATGCCAACTTTAATGAGTAAAAAGTGCTATATTCAGTCGATTATCAACAGATATACCTACTTAAACACAAGGAAACGTTTTCAAAGGCAGAATTTCGAAATCGTTGAAATTATCTCCTTATTAATAAAGTTTCTACTGTGTAAATTATCCTGACATTATAATCAAAAAGAGATGATATTTGACCAAAACCCATAATCATGGGTAGAGTGAACCGCTGCCAGTGTCTCTCTTTTGCAAACAAAAGGAAATGATATTAATTTGAGGAACCGTCCGCAAATGCAAATTGATACCGAAAATGAAATCGGTCGCTCGCTTTTCCCATTTAATAAGCTTTATTACCATTCGTAAGTCGTGAATGAATGGGAAAAGCGAGCGACCGATTTCATTTTCGGTATCAATTTGCATTTGCGGACGGTTCTTCAAATTAATATCATTTCCTTTTGTTTGCAAAAGAGAGACACTGGCAGCGGTTCACTCTACCCATGATTATGGGTTTTGGTCAAATTTAGGCACCTGAAATATTAGGCGCCTAAAAGATTAGGCACCGGTAGCCAGATGGTAACTGGTTGATAAATTGTGTAAAAAAAATCGTGATAGCCAGTTTGCAGTTGGTTGGCTGATCGGTCATGAATAAATTTAAAACTGAGATTGAAAAACGAATGATATCTGGGCAGTTCCCAATTGTACTCTGTTCATCTGTAATCTGATTGAGAGATTGAATGAAGGGTCTCCGTTTAAAATGAAACAAACCACCCCACATAAAATTATCTTGTTTACTGCACTTGAGTTGATTCGTTTAGCCTGCCACGTCACGTTGTCCCGGGCAACACGATTGGCTGGGAGCCAAACACGTGCATCATCCGCAGGTCACGTGATCACATTTCCTGGTCTCTGATTGGTGTGCTGGTTCTGACCGTTTATAAATTCAGCTTGTGGAGGGAGCAGACGGTGGTGTAATTGTGAATAGAAAACTTGAGCTGTTTCATTTGTACGTTTTATCTTTTCCCCGTGGAGCTAAAGTAAGGTGCGTCTGTTTTTAGTTTTAAATGCTGCCTTCTAAGAATAATGTGCAATGCAGTGATTATGATTTGATTATGTAATTTTGCTAATATAAGGTGTCGCGCACCGCTGGGTTGTTAATTCAGTAATTACAAAACTCAATCAATTACCTTATTTGTTTGACACGCTAATATTTTGTGATGAGATAATTGGTTTAAGCAATTTACAGAAAATTGAATTATTCACACCTTTTAAAAACATGGCAGTGTAGGACCCTCACTTTCATTCTATTAGTATTACCTCGGTATTAGTTCCATATCTTACTGTTCAAACTTCAACTTCAAGTTTACTTGGAATACTAGTAGTAGTTATCATCTTCACCCTTGTCACTGTAGATTTTGCGATGATCAGACTTAGTAATCAGTAATTTAGAAAAAAAGTTCGACCCCGATTTCAAGAACTCAGTTTTACAGATACCAAAAGTGTTTACAGTTTACTACCAAAGAATTCCGGTAAATTGGGGTTTCTCCATGAATTTTGAACCGAGACCACTTCGATCCAAGACATTAATAGTATTGCCCTTTTTGATACTGCTGATGCTTTGAAGATTGAACTAAAGCGAAACTGAGATACATCCTAAATGTGCTTCGTACGACTACGATGGTTAAATAGGATAAATATGGTTTTAAAATATTAGTAACGGAAAATTTATCACAAATCTCTCAAGTGTAAAACAACAATGTATAAAAGTAAAAAGACATCATATTTTTAACTTTACGAAGGATCAACTGATCATGAGACATGAGTACATGATCGAGTTCGTGGCAAAGTTTATTAATGGGATCGCACTAAAAGTAAGTACTATATGACTCCTAGTCCTAGCTAATAATATCAACTTTAGTGCACGACCTGCTCAGAATAACCTCCATCTCTTGTTACCGAGATACTCTGTTAGCTACTGAATCTGTAGAACTGAAAGTTTTTATAACCAAGGTGTTAGCTGTCCATGGTTAAATCTTTTAAAAGTTTCATCCATCTAGACCCTCTATTAATTCCTGTAATCGGCCCCTATAAATAAAACTCACCAACCACATCCTTGATTTGCGGCATTGTAAAGGTCTATCCAAATTAGTACCAAAACTCAAAAGTTTGTAACACCATAATCCGGATACAAATTACCCAATCATTTGGCTCCTAATTTTCACCCCTTTTTCTCTTCGTATCAAGTGACTGCAAATTTACTGGCGTGTAACTGGAATCCGATTTTATCGTCAATTTCGTAGATTGGACTGATAAGGATATAAAGGAGATACGAGCTCGGAACGCTTCACAGGAAACTAGATACAGACAAACTAAAATTAGAAACTTTTAATTTCTGTGATAATTTCTGTGATCTCGAATAACAGCCGAGGTGAATAAACCGGGAGACTTTCCGTTAGCTTGTATCTGCCGGTGAAATTTATAGTAGAAATAAATTGTAAGTTGTACCAATCTGATGGTAAAATAAATTGTAGGTTCGTAACATGACCATTACCATTATTATGATTGTTTTCACCAGTAAAGTGTTGGTTAATGTGTCACTAAAAAGTAAAAGCAAAAAGAACTACAAAACGTTACGTTTTTAATCATATACCATTTTCGCTGGACTCAAAATCATCTCAATTATAATATATATAAAACATAAAAAGTGTAGGATCCTGCAGATCAACCCACCATGCATAACACTTACAACTTTTCCTCAATTCATGATGCTCCTCCACTTTCAGGTACTAGAGATGACGCCAGATATCCACTAACTCTAACAATATTACAACGACAAACCCAAACCACGGAGCTACAATACAGAAACTAACACCAATATAACACACCCGGATATCATGTCTTCAGCAGCCAGTTTCAGACAAGCACAGGCTCCTCACCCTCTGGGAATACTGCACTTTCAGACTGAGGGAATCTCTCCTGCTAACTCTATAGCCAGATTCTCTACCAGTGGTAAGTATTGGGGGGGGATCTCTCCTGCTAACTCTATAGCCAGATTCTCTACCAGTGGTAAGTATGGGGGGGGGGGGGGGGGGGGGGGGGGGGGGGAATCTGGACTGCTAACTCTATAGCCAGATTCTCTACCAGTGGTAAGTATTGGGGGGGGGGGGGAATCTCTCCTGCTAACTCTATAGCCAGATTCTCTACCAGTGGTAAGTATTGGGGGGCCGGGGGGGGGGGGGAATCTCTCTTGCTAACTCTATAGCCAGATTTTCTACCAGTGGTTAGTATTGGGGGGGGGGGGATCCAAACTCGATTTTCCATAGGTGATACATTCACCCTAAACTTGTGGATACAAATATAGACAATAAAAACGTGGCCCTCATCCATAAAATATCCATTGTTCTGCAGATATAACAACAGTTATAATCAGCTTATTATTCAATTAATTAATTGACTAACAACTAAACTATTCCAGGTAGTACAGCGCTGTCCCACCACCCCACGAATAAGCCAACCTACAGTATAGACGGTATATTGAAAGAGGAGAGACGAACTTCAGGTCCTCCTCCTCCGCAAACTCAACACTCTCATCAATACGTTTCTCCTGACTCTTCCAGTGAGTTGTTATTTAATTCTTTAGTTAATTGGTTAATTGGTTAATTAACCATAATAAATAATGTAAATTTAATTAAGATGAAGGGGAGAGGTTGAAGCGCATGCAATGTTCGGTAGTGCTACACGGCAAAAAAGAGGGGAGGGGAATTTCAAATTGTCCAAATCCACCTAAAAATTAACATCTACGCACACTTCTTTTTAGTGGAAGGTAAAAACCGACCGAAATCAATCAAAAAAAGTAGTGATATTCCACTATACCAGGTGTATAAAACATCACGTGTATTACCAACTACACAGTGCCAACGTGACTACACAGTGCCCACGTGTTCTTACTGTTTTAACAGTAGTTCCAATATCAGTTTCCATCTCCTAAATGTAACTCTCAGATAGTCGACCCAGCTCTCATTGCACTGATCAAGTAGCTCTATTGTTTTACCACTACTTGAGTTGCACCACCTGAAACTTAAATACTTCTCAATTTTTACTTATTTTACTCCACGACGGGGCCGGCGCTGTATCCCACGTGCTTCTCACGTGTTCAGTCGCCCTTCTGAAATTTCAGATTTTATTGTATTTTTTCTTCAGAAGACCCGGTGTACAGTGATATTGTTGTTCCTTCTCCCCTGTAGGGCTGGTAGTGGTAATCTTGTTAAGATAGGGCGCATTTAATATTTACTAACACTAGCTGCTATTCCACTTTTATATTTACTAACACTTATAGCTGCTCATCCACTTTAATATTTACTAACACTAGCTGCTATTCCACTTTTATATTTACTAACACTAGCTGCTATTCCACTTTTATATTTACTAACACTAGCTGCTCATCCACTTTAATATTTACTAACACTAGCTGCTATTCCACTTTTATATTTACTAACACTAGCTGCTCATCCACTTTTATATTTACTAACACTAGTTGCTATTCCACTTTTATATTTAAAAAACTGACTGCTGATTGCTTCCAATCTAGTTTACTATAATACAGTTCTTAAAATTTATATATGAATTTACTAGTAATGTTGATCGGTAATGAGTTTCTATTACTATAGTCTTTTACTATTATACTTTTTTACTTTTTATTATACTTTTTGTTCAGTTAATGTTATTTAGTTATAATTTATAACTAGTACCTCCAAGTCGAATCATTGGTAAAATTGATCACTTCAGTAATTTTTGGTAAATTCTTTATTTTTGTCAGTACTTCTTCTACGTATTCCCTCTGCAGATAATTCCCTACCAAATGTTAAAAAATCCAATGGATATTTTCTACAAACAGTATGATATTCTTTGTGAAACCTTTTCACCAAATGTTACAAATATCTTGCTGTTTACCCAAAAATTTGATAAAACTTTCACTGTCTGACGACAAAACGTGAACTCCATATCTTTATCCTCTGAAACTTGATCTCATTCTGAAACGTGACTGTGGATCTCAGTATCTCATTTCAGTTTTCTCCGCATAATCTCTAACCAGTTAAAATAGAAATAGAATCACCCACACAGTTTTCAGGCGGCACGGGTAGGAAAAACCTTAACCTGGTAACCTTGTAACCTGGTAACCTGGTACTAATTGGTAACCTGGTAACCTGATAACTTGGTAACCTTATAACCTGGTAACTTGGAAACCTGGTTACCCTTTTGCCTGCACAAGAGCAATTCTAATATAACTGCACGTTTTTTGTGAACTAACTGATATTCTCAAGGCGAGGGATGCAGAAGTTCTTTTATAGAAGTTTTGGTAGTTTTGGTAGTGTCTGTAGTCATGGTTACACACATGGGAGTTTTATTATTTGCACGCCAGAGTGGAGCCTCCAATTAAACAATCAATTAAAAGGGCTCCCTCACTAATAAGTAATCACACCACTTATTCTATTCGAGTATTTTCTCTGAAGTGTCTTCCTGCGCTCTCAGTAATAACCTCCACTAAAAAGGAACCAGGAAATCCGGCCAGGAAGTCTTGTATTTCATTTCCCATTTCCCCACATTTTCCTGCCACGCTCACGGTGCTAAGCACGTGACGAGCCCACGTGACCCGCCTTCGCCCACGTGCACAACTCACGTGACACACATTCAGCACGTGCACGACCTGGTCTTTACAGAAAAACCCTGATAAGGGCTGGGGGTGTCGAGTTTCAACCGAGTTTAAGCGAGCTTACCTTCCCTCCTACCTCGCGTTACCAATACTTTATCAAGGGCACCCGCAATCTCCACCGTTACTCTCTCTCTCCCCTCACTGACAATCTAGCCCTTTAATCGAATTTGTGTTCGTTTCTGTATTTTGAATTTGAATCGTGTGCTGCACACAGCTCTCTCTCTCTCCCTCACACTCTCGGAGGTAACCATTTCCTGGTGAAGATATGCTTGTAACCAGTTCTCAACACAACTCTGTTAACAACAACAACAACAACAACAACATAGGCAGTAAGTAACAACCCTGTAACAACACAAACTGTGATTAACAATTTATGAGAAGAACACACTGTCTGCTGCCCTCTTATAAAGGGTATTTTATTGAATTACAAAATATATTATAGCAAGATAATTCATTTAATACCTAGATTGGATTATTGCTTTATATTTCAGACTAAGTAGTTTATTTAATAAGCCTCGCGTAATGTGACATGGTATGAATTTAGTTATAATCAAATTGAGAACATGTGTCCAGAAGGGTTCTTATTTGATTAACAATGTAGACAGGGTGATCCAATTATTATTCAGCATTATAATACCTAATGAAATTTTACGATTTCAATGGTAATATGTATTAGTTATTAGTAAACTGTGAAATTGGGGTAAAGTAATTAAATAATTGTGTTAGTGATACAATAGTGCTACATAATGTTTAGTGGCAGGTTACAGGTTTAAATGAGATTATATCTGAGGGAGGGCGGGCAAGTTAGGGCATGTGGCAGGTTAATACGTAATAACGTACGGGTTTAATACGTACTAACGTACGGGTTTAATACGTACTAACGTACTGGTTTAATACGTACTAACGTACGGGTTTAATACGTACTAACGTACGGGTTTAATACGTACTAACGTACGGTTTTAATACGTACTAACGTACGGGTTTAATACGTAATAACGTACGGTTTTAAAACGTACTAACGTACGGGTTTAATACGTACTAACGTACGGGTTTAATACGTACTAACGTACGGGTTTAATACGTACTAACGTACGGTTTTAATACGTACTAACGTACGGGTTTAATACGTACTAACGTACGGGTTTAATACGTACTAACGTACGGGTTTAATACGTACTAACGTACGGGTTTAATACGTACTAACGTACGGGTTTAATACGTACTAACGTACAAAACGTGAATAATAATACGTGTACGTATTATTAAAGTTGGTGTATTTAGCAGCCCTGATATATAATAGGCCTAGTTGTAGGATAATCAACTGTGAAAACACAGGAGTTAATAATTCCGGAGGGGACCGTGTCAACTTAATTTCGGAGTCCAAGTACGGATTTTGGTGCCTGATGTCAGTAATACCTCTAAAATTTAAACAAAATTTTACAACGTGTCGAGGTGAAAATGATCCTGACTCCCGAGTTTAAAGTTTCGTTTCTTCTGAACATTTATTATTTCTCTATACTAGTGTGTGTGAGAGGATTACTGCTAAGAAATATATCATCACAGTCTATCCATCAGCCTGAACAAGTCAATAAGATTGTCTGGATTGAAAAATATTGAAATTATTCAGGTTTATTTTGGTCAAGTATTTTCCGTCCGTAAATCTTTGTTGTTAAGCAAACACGGTACAATTTAAGATCATGTCGCATCTGTGTGGGGGGGGGGGGGGTTATGAGCCAAATTCTCATGACCCCCCCCCCCCCCCCCCCCCTGTGTGAACTAACACATCTATCCACTACAGGGACAAAAGGAAATCGCGGCATGTACGGAATCGCGATTTTTCCCATTATTTGCGACAAATTTTATGTATAGTTTAATGTATAGGCTTTTAAATTTCGCGGTATCGCGATTTTTTGCCAAAATAATCGCGAAATCCTTTAGTCCCTGATCCACTAGGTACCACTTTACTTCGATATTTTTCAGATGAAGATTAAATTCCATCGTAAAGTTACTGATCTACACAGTGTGGCATTTTCCTATTAAAGTATTAAGAGTGCAGTGCCCTTGTGAGGGATTATTACTATTTTTTATTATATATTTGTTAAGCTTAAAATTGGTCATTGGAACCACCCGGGATCCGTCTCGGTTTACAACCAACCATACCCTGATTTACCGTGGAGTTTTAGGGAAGGAAATTGCCGTGGTAAATTGAGGTTTGCGGTAAATCGGGGTTTTACTGTATTAGGTCGAAACTTAGTCAGATAACCCTACCCATATATCCCTGGCTCAAATTTCCACTTCTGTCCAGTATGTGCCTTATTATCTTTATCATAATAAAGAATTATAGTTTTTTAGTTTCTGAAGGTTGGTTCAGCATGTATAGCAGGAAGGAATGTGGCAAGCCTGAGTTGCTCGAGTGTGGGTGTCAATTGTGTTGAACATGAGTACCTCAGAGTAGGTATATATTTGTTTGCCAATTATTACCGAAATTATGCACCTCAAAAACCAGGAAATTTTGGAAGCCTTCACGGATTCTCTTGTCTCTTATCTCTTGTTTCCTTTTTCATTGTGATACAGTTACCTTTTCAATCATGCAGATGTGTCTGCCTTCTGCAACAAAATACAAAATAATTGTAATACTGGAGAGTGGAGACCCAACTCTTACAAAATTGGGTTTTTATAAGGGTTCCAGAATCCAGATAGGCTGATTAACTGTATTTAGCCAGAATCATAAAGTGGAACTGAATAAAGTGAAACTAAATACATTGTGTGGAAGGTGCCTAATATAAAACACAGCTACTTCAAAACATAATCTATCACTATAACAGACAGAGATATTTTGAAGGAACATTCACAGTTCACTTGACCCAGCGGTAAAGTATGCGATTTTTGGGGGTCTGGTAATTTTTACGCAAGTCTGGTAATTTTTACGAAAGTCTGGTTCTTACAAAAGGAAAAAACAATTATCGGTACTAGCTGTAAAGTGGATGACGTAGAATTTTAATGATAACAATAAAGAGTGCTGTTAAAATTACAGTGCTGATTAAGTACAATGATTTTACAGGTGATTTTATTCTGACGAATCTAGGATTGTCAAATCTTTTGTATCTCCCAAATCTCAAGACTTTACCCAAATAATTTGCAACATTGAAACTTTAATAACAGCGCGTTGACACAAACTGTGAAATACCAAAATAACCACCAAACCGTTTGTAACTTTCTCGCTCCTAAATCTTTGGAATTTACTCAAATAATCCGCAAAATTTCCCCATTGTAAATACTCGGTGAAGCTCCCAAAATAGCCGCGAGTGTATGTCACGGAGAGAATCACTTTCACACTTTCTAATATAATGGTGAATAACTGGTGATGAGTCAGGGACCCTGAGTCATCACCAGTCAGGAGTAACTGTGACGTCACCAGTCAGGAGTAACTCCGTTTACTCTGGTTTAGAGTGTGATGCTGATGATCGAATTGACGGGGGTCCGCGCCGAGCACTGTTTAATTAACCGCCGGCCCCCATCTCCCTCAAATCCTCATATTTTAGTGGCAAATTAGGTCCAAATCCCGCGATAATAGCCTTCCCTCAATCGCTGTGTGGTGGACCAATGAGGGGCCGGTATTTTACCCACGTGACCAGGGTTCGACCAATGAGTTGCGCTGAATGGGTCTCGTGATCACGGGTGGTAAAGTTGCCACTTGTATTATCTTAGTCGGGTTATCAGATGGATATATTCTTTCTTTTATCCCAATCTCTGTTCTGATCTTTGGCTCACATTCTTTTAAACCTTCCGGCCTGTAGGATTCAGATTCTTTTAATCTGGAGGATTTTTTGATCATCGACGAACATCGTTTTGACTGCGCTTTAGTTGAAATTAGAGGAATTGTAATAACTTTCATTTTGCTGTTTCTAATTTTTTCATTAGTTTCTACATATTACACATTTAAATTTTTCAAAAATTCAAGGTCCATTCTAGTTTTATGTTGAAACCGAGCCTATTTATTCTCGTACTATTTGTATAGTAACATATTGTCTACCCTTGGATTCGTGTGCGATAAAATGCGTTAAATGGATCTAGAAAAAAACTATAACTTTGACTTAGCATTTGTGATTTATCTGTTTTTAAATTCCACCAACTTCACATTCCAACCTTAAATTAAACTAAACCCAGTATTCGCTCCTCAAATATTCACATTCTCCGATGTCACATACCATGTCACATCCCATATCACACACACTCCCATGTCACACACACTCCCATGTCGTAACATCACGTCTACGGCACATTTACCATCCAACAGTTCCAACCTGGGTTCCTCTGATCTGTCAACAACCCACTCCAGAACAAACCCGGTCCTCTCTTTTCCACTCATTATCGTATCATTGGAACTCGCTTAGGAACCTGACGTGAGCCTGATTGGAACCTGATCGGAAGTAGTCCTACACTTTAACACCACAGAGCACTAACTCACCCCCTGACCAAACTCCCAATCTCCAGGCCTGTCACTACCTCACTACACTGATTCATCCTCCATTTGAAATACTTCTCCGTCCTACTCTGGCTTCCCTCAATCGGTTGAGCGGCGGAAATAGCGGTGAAGTTGTCGTTGAGTGGCGATGTTTTTGACTCGGTCCGGGGGAATGGGAGATGGTTGACCTGCTCAGAGCTGGGTAGAGCTTAGACCCACGCGAAGGACATGCGGTGAGGTTGTCAGTTTGACTGGGGATCGGAGGAAGATGTTGTCACGATTATTGAACTTTGTTGGGCAGACTTTATGTCGGGATTTGGTGTTTTTCTACAGTCGCCATTTCAGTCGCAAGCTAGGCTTGAACTTAAGGTTGGTCGGAGGACGATGTTGTCACGATTAGTGGGCTTGTAGCCTATAATATGTCGGGGTTCGGTGTTTTTTCGGAGTCGCAATTCTAGTGGGAAACCACTTTACTAGCTACCGTTTTAACACCAACGGAAACTTGAACTGAAGATCCAGCGAAGAAAGACGTTTCTTGATGTTTACCTGGTTATGTTGAGAATATTTGGTGTATTTTTCAGAGCCTTGTCGTTATTTTAATGCTTTTTACTTTTTTCGTTTTTTGATTTATATGCTTGGCAGCCTGACAGAATTTTCGGATATTCTGTAGTTGTAGACATATTTTTAGCACAATACATCCCAAGATTCAGCCTCGAGTACATTTTTATATTAATAAATATGAAAACATTTCAAATTCCTGGGTAAATCATATGGTTAGAGGGCAAAACCCTAAAATCTGTTATAAACGCACGGCATGTGAGATACTATCCCACGGATTAAAAAACACCAGACTAAAAGTTGTCG